ATTTTGAATGAATCAATTGATTTAAAATGCCAAAATTTTGAGCAGAGGTGTTAAATATACAATTTGTGACCTTTGAGCTTGACCAAAGTTATATATATTTTAAAATGCAAAACAAAAAAACAAAAACAAAAAAAACAATGCATAGTATTGCCATCCATAAACAATTCATAGTATTGTAATGCATATACAAAAGACTTGTTAACAAATTCTTTATCATCAGTTGCATAATAGAGATTAGATAAAAAATGTTTATTTTATTATATATTTTATTACTGGTTTGTACTTATTTTATTACTGCTTTTTGCTTGAATAAAACTTGTAAAGTCTCATTTATTTTGGCATTTATTAATGTATACCTATACATTAACTATTTATTTTATTACTGCTTTTTGTTTGTATAAAATTTGTAAATATATGCATATAAAACTTGCATACATGCATATAAAAATGCATATAAAACTTGCATTTATTTTGACATTACCTATACATTAATTAATGTATACCTATACATTAATTAATATCAAAATAAATGATCCTGAAACCAAAAAGATGTAGGGTAGATTAGGGTATTACGAGTACCTTGGTAATATGAGCATACTTAAAAATTTTTTATATGTAAGAAGTGAAGTTAAAGTTGCTTTGTATTTTTTTGAATCAACTTTATGTGGTGATAACAGGAATCAGTACAATTAGCGTAAATTTATATACAGTAATTAGCGGCTATCTAATTAAAATGCTGTCAAATTTTTTGTGCTGTTAAAATAATATCATCACAGATGAATAAATCTGTGGTGCAAAATATTGGAGCTAAAATAATGAAATTCGTTTTTTTATAAAGAAAATATGTTAGCTAAAAATCTAATCTATTTTTGTTTGAAAAACAATACATAGAAACATTTAGTTTTGACTTTATTTAAAGATGCTATTTTTGTGTAATATGAGCATGCTCAAATTACCCTTAGTTTTTTAATTGAAACTAGTTTTTTCATTGAAATTACCTAGTTTAAAATAGCAGTGGTTTTAACTGCTTTTTAAATAAAAACAAAACATAGTAAAAAATGTTATTATTTTATCAATACAAAATATTTTCCTGTAATTCAAATTCAAAAAATTTGAATTTTATTTTGTTTAAAGGTTTGAGTTAATAAAATTGAAAAAATAACGAAGTAATTTTTTTTTGGCGGTAAAAATAGTATTGTTTTAACAAAAAGTTCCTTAAAATTTGACCTTTTAATGATAAGTTTTGTTAATAACGAATCATTATATTTCAAAAATTAGTTCTAATTGTCAACTTGGTATTTTTTACTTATTTTTTTAAGATAATTTCAAAGTGCTTATATTACCAAGTGGTCTGGGTAATATCAGCACTTTTGCTACTTTTTTAAAACCTGTGTTTTTAAAAAAATATTTCGGATGCCTAAATATCTAAGTAGATCATGAGTAGGGATCCCTAAAAATTGTTTATTCACTTTGTTTATTTTGAGTCCAGCATAATTATTTTTAAAAATATTTCAACTTTCGCTTAGGGTGCTCATATTACCCTAATTTACCCTACTGAAAATTTAAAACTGGCACACTGAAATGTATTGAAGAATTTATTAATTCAAAATATATCTCAATAAAATGTTTGATTTAAAATAAAGTAATTTAAAAATAATTTCATACAAAACTATTGTTTTATGCTTTTTAAGTTAACAATTTTAATATTTTTATCACCAGAGTATAAACATAGCATATAAATAAATGTAAAAATATATTTCTACATTTGGACTTTTATGGAATGTCATATAGAAAAGCCATTTGTGGGTGCCTCGGTTCATAAATCAACTAAAGGTTTGGGAAGACATATGGCCTTCTTTACAGAAGGCTTAAATGCCGTGCAGACCTTTCTTTTGACTGAAAATTAATTTGAAGACAGAACTTTTTTACTGAAAACCAAAACAAAACAAAAAAACAGCCAAAAAAAGTAATGTTGTTTAACTGTTCCTAAGTTTAAATATTGAATAACAAAACCCTATATTTGCTTAATTTTAAAATTAAACAAATCAGATTTTATGATTTTAGATAGAAAATAAAAACTATTTTCAACTTAATAAATGAAATATGTCTAATAAAAATTATACAACAATGACTCTGCAACAAATTATAAAAAGAAATATCAGTTTTATTTCATTGAGTTTCTTATTTTTTGGAGTAAAAGATAATGTTAAACTTGTATTAAAAATATTTGCTAGTGTACATTTTTTTATAATAGAAAACTCATATATCAATAAAAAAGAACTGTGAAGTTAAAATAATTCTGCTAACTCTTTTGAATAATAAATAAGCATATAGCAAAATATCAACCATTGATACATAGTGATAGGTGAGATTGTCTCTTACAGTGATGTATCTAGGTCAGCTTTAAGACAGGTACACTATTTTGTGAACCCAAATTAATCTGCTCAAACTCTAACTTGTCATTGTTTAAAAATAAATATAATTAATATTTAAGTTCTTTTTTTTATATAGTATGAAATAAATGAATATATTTTTATATTTGATAAATGTCTTTTAGAAAAGATGTTAAAAAAATTTTTATTCACAAGGGTTTGCAACACAATTATGTCAAACTGACATTCTTTGAAAAGAAAAAATATTTTTATAATTTTAAATAAATTTATAATAATTATATATAATTATAATTAATATAAGTTATAATAAATATAAATTATAGATAATTATAAAAATTATAAATAAGAAAAATAATGCTGAAAAACTTTAGGCATAAGAATGATAAACTATTACCAATAACCTTAGAACAAAAATAATTTTTTCTTAGATTCTTTAATACGATGTTTTTTCTTAGATTCTTTAGTATGATGTTTTTTCTTAGATTCTTTAGTATGATGTTTTTTCTTAGATTCTTTAGTACAATGTTTTTTCTTAGATTCTTTAGTACAATGCTTTGCACTTTTAGGTATTGCAACTTTATTCAAATAAAATATCACACGTGAATGTTGTTCTTGGACTAAACTTTTTATAAAGTGTATAACTGCCACAATATAAAGAATAAAAATACACATTAATATCCAAATTTAAAGAGCAAATACACATTAATACCCTAATTTAAAACACAAATCACAAAAATACCACAATTTAAAGAACAAATACGCATTATTACCCCAATTTAAATAAGAAATACACATAAATACACCAATTTAAACCACAAACATACGCATTAAGTCCCAATTTAAAGTACAAATACACATTAATACCACAATTTAAAAAGCAAATACACATTAATACCCCAATTTAAAGCCAAAATACACATTAGGACCACAATTTAAAGAACAAATACACAATAATACCCCAGTTTAAAGGATAAATACCCAATATAAAGAACAAATACACATCAATACCCAAATTTAAAGAAGAAATACACATTAATACCCTAAGTTGAAGAACAAATACACACTGGCCAGTATTTATTAAAAACAAAATTGAATTTGTTATTCAATTGTTAAGATTTTTTTTTTCAACATCTCACTTCCAACAAGGCTTCAAGCAACCACTATTAGAGTTGGAAGTTACTTGAAGAGAAAAGATGAGGTTTATAGAGCAAGATAAAGATTGACAGACAACTTAAAAGATTGCAAATTATATAAATCAGGAAAACAAGATGAAGGTAACGAATTCTAAAGAACTGATGTTTAAGGAAAAAAACTAGACAAATAATAACTTTTAGAGTACTTAGGATCAGTCACAGTAAAAGGATGAGACTTAATTGAATGGCGAGTAACACAAGAATGAATTTTAGTAGATGGCACAAGAGACGCTAGCTCTTTAGAGCAGTACCCATTATAGTATTTATAGAAAAGAGAAAGAGAAGCAATATTACAACAATGTAATAATGGTTAGAGGATGGCTGCAAGGCCCAACTATGTTTACAAGATAACTAATCGTCACATCTAGATATAAAAGAAATTCTCCAATATATTGCCCAACATTTTGGGCTACAATTTTCTGTGCGAACTTTCCATTGTAAAATGCAATTATCAAAGAGCTTTCAAGAAAAAGAGAAAGTATGGTTAAAAATAAGAACTAATCATACAAAATTTTCTAAAATTGGTTTTATATGGAAGTACACTAGGTTACAGATAACCTATCTTAAGCATGAGCTTAAATAAGAGAGAAAGAAACTATTCTAATAGATAGTAATATTATAAAATGAAATCAATAATAAGCATATATAAAAACCATAGTGGTTTAAAGTTGACTGTCACTGCAACAATATTCAGAATTAAACTTGTGAATTCAAAAAAGCAGAAAAGTTTATAAGTTTTATCAAAAAATATTTCTAAAAATAAAAAAATCTAATTTAAGATAAACTTTTTTAAAAAAAATCATAAATAATTATTCAAAAAAAACAACCTGAAAGTTTATATCATATGACTAATGTTGGTAATATATATATATATATATATATATATATATATATATATATATATATATATATATATATATATATATATATATATATATATATATATTTGCATAATTAATTAATGTAACCAATAAATGATGACATTGTATTTGAGACCATATTAAAAAAAAAAGAAGAAAAAAACAAAATATTTCTGAGTTTATTTAAATTTAATATTGGTTAAAAAAATAACTAATACACATACTGCATTTATTTGACAATAACACAAATCTCTTGCTTATAGAAATAAATTCCCATTTTTTATGTAATATGAAAGGTTTTTTTTTTAACAATTTCATAATCTAATACACCACAATTATCAAATTAAAAGCAAAAAAAAAAAATAAGTTTTATATACAAAATAGTTTGTACACAACTTTGTGTACTTATATTATATATGTTTAGTATATTACAAAGTGCAAACTGGCGCAAAAAAAAAGAAACTATTTAAATTTTAAAACCAAATTTAATCAAACCTTGTTATATACAAACATGAACTATTTTGATATAAAAAATAAAACTTAAGAAAACAAAC